TCCAGGTTATTATTTTCAGTTGGAAAACTTGTGCCTAGCTTCAGTATAATTCAAATAATGTCCACTTTTACGATTACAATAGTAAGAACTAATCACTGGTTGACGTTTTTATCCAAGTGTAGATTTTGAGGACTAACAATTTGACAAAAAGTCTACAGCTTCTATCAAAATTCTTCTGGAGGATAATTGGTATTCATTGTGACTTTGTGAATCTATTTTCTATGTTAAGAAACGTGGATGGACCTGTTAATCACATATCTGTCCTTCACCTTTCATTCCTCAAATTCAAAGGCTCTATATTGAATCTTCACATTTCTTTTGAAAATGAAACTGAGGCTTTCACAGCCTAGCTTTAACTTTGGAAATTTCATATTCCCTGATTCTCTTCCACAGTCAACAGAGGAAGAATATAAGGAAATGGTCTCAAGTTGCACCAGGAGAGATTTAGATTGGATGTTAGGAAAAGTTTCTTCACTGCAAAGGTTGTCAGGAAATGGAACAGGCTGCGCAGGGGAGTGGTGGAGTCCCCATCCCCGGAGGTGCTGTGTACATGTGGTACTTGGGGACATGCTTTAGTGGTGGACTCAGCAGTGCTGGGTTAACAGCTGGACTTTGTGGTCTCAAACCTCTTTTCAAAGCTAAAAGACTCTGAAATTGTATGATTGATTTCTCTGAACAGCTCCATTAAGGGATCTCTGCTGACTGTAACCAGAACACAAGAGAATCAGCTTCTCCAAGAAAATGAGCACCTTGTGTGTCATTCTCTTCAATCACACAAATGCTTTGGAGTACTTGGTCCACATACTCTACCTCGGGCACCAATAACTGCTTGGCATTTGTACTTAAAAATCAATTTTTTTTGTATGTACAATGAATGTCACTGATCTGTCCAGCCCCTGCTCACAGGACCCTTGTACAAGTTGAGCAGGAAAACTGCTTATGCAAATGCACTTACCTAACAGGAGTAATTTTAAGATTTATGCAAAAAGACAGAGTAATTCTTCCAAAACAGTAGTTCTATGGCGTAAGTGTTCTTTCAGTAAGATTTTCATAACCTCATGGCACAATTGCTGCCCAGTTTCTACGTATTTTTTGGGAAACACTAAGTGAAAGAAAATCACCATTTCAGGGGCCAAGTGAATACACAGCCTTACTGGAGCTTTGTGGGTACATTTAGGGACTGGCTTAATTCAGAGTCAAAAAGGGGCTAACAAATTTGCCATTTTACAAGGTTTAATCTCAATACCTGCCCCCTGTATTTCTGTTTTGGGAGATGTTTATATTGGCTCTTCAGCACTACACTAGCCATCAGGCTGACAGTTCCCTGCAGCTCTGCTGACTCAAAATAATGACTTGTAGGGGAGCTCTAATGACAGAACAAGGGGCAATTACAGACACAGCAGGAGCCTTGGCAAAACTGTGTGATGTATTTTGTGCAGTTGATTGACCCTGTGTTCAAGTTCATTTGGGCTCTGCTGCCGTAGATCTGGCCTATGCCTGAAGGTATATGGCTTGTTAATCTCAATATAAGACGACAGAACAGATTAGATCAAATCAGACCATTCAGACAAAAGCAAAACTGCTCCAGTGCTGGGACAATAAATGACAGCAGAAATATGTGACTCTGAAATATTTCTTTGCCTACAGACAGTAAGATCTGAGGCTGTAAAAACAGATTATCCAGCCATTTTTAAAGTTGATCTCCATGTATGAAAAAGAGAAGGCAGATTTTTTCCTTAGATCTCCAATGTCACACCTTCCATTTAGGGACACAGACCAACATCTCAACATAGGAGATTTACTACAAATAAACTTAAAACTAACCTTGAGATTACCCCATTAAAAAAAAAAAAAAAAAGCACAGATAAGTATCAGAATAAAACACAAAGTACTCAATTTTCCACATTCAGGAAAAAGCTTCTTAATTCATGTAACTCAATTTTATACAGTTTTATAGCTCTCGTGTGTGACTCCAATTGGTTAGTATCACCCTTGCCAATTACTCCATTGGTTAGTGAAAGGTATTTTACTTGTCCATCAAATCTCTCTATTCTTAAATTGTTTACATATTTTCTTCACTGATTCTCATGGGATAGATCTAATGTTTATGCAGGTGCTAGTTGTTTTTCACCGAGGAATAGGTTGTTTTGTTAATGAGCTATTCACATCAGGATTGTTTTCACGTGGGAACTTCCAAAGTTCTAGCTGCACCTGGAAGAAGTGACACGCCAGCCATGGATCTAACAGAGCAGGCCTGATTTTATGAGGATTTTCTTTAATAGTTTTTCTACTTGACTGCAACAGATAAGGGAAACAACAAGTTAAAGGCTTTCTGTGCCTGAAAAAAGGCCTTGACAGCAATGCAGGGCCAAGAGTCTGTTCTAGAACAGACTAAAAGCTTCTTTCTTCCTCCATCTTATGAAATTTCTTCCCAGTTAATGAAGGTGAGATCATGAGATGTACTATTTATTTAGCAAGAGATCACACCAATACTGGCTGGCAATTAATGTGAGGCAATGTAATCTTTTCTGCTTTTACTAAACGTCTGACTTGGGTCAATCTTACCTTCTTATTTTTAACACTAATAGATTTTTGTTAGGTTATTCTTCTTTATAAAATTAGAAACAGAATAAAAAGCGAAAAGAGAATAGAAGTATTTACTGCATTTTTCATAATAGTAAACTCCTGTACATCCTGGATGCAATATGGGTTGTCAAGATTTCTGGTATTCCTTTAGAGGACCAAATCTTTTCCTTTTATACAGCTCCTTCCCAAAAATATGCAGTAAGCCATGTGGTCAATCTCTTCTGAAATACCCAAGTACATTTCAAAGCACAAGAAACAAAGACCTCCCTATTGTTATTTCTATACCTATTGACTCCACTAAATGCTTATCAACACATAAATGTACACGATGAAAAGGAATAGATGCTGCCAAAGCGTTCATGAATACAAAACATATTTTGCCACACACCTCCACAGAGTCAATATATTTAAAGAAACGAGGGCAAAATAAAGGAATTTAAAACCAAACTGGTGGAATGCAGCACACATCATATGGGCTGCACTGAGAGCTTCAGCAGAGATAAAGCTTGGGATAGTTTTCCCCCCAATATGTCAATGGTTTATCGAAATAATTTTCAAAGGATGTTCAACAGTAAAGAGCAGTGGACTGAAGCATTGTGCACCAGCTCAGAATGGGAACTTCAGCTCTCTCCACTTGCTGACTGGTGCAATGCAAGACAGCAGTAACTAATTTTAGGCTGGAAATGGGTAAAAGGCAGATGTTTCATCTCAGAACACTTGAACATTAATTAAGATAGAGAGAGAAGCTTCCAAAACATCCCACCACTGCTCAGTGTCAGACACAGCAGCACGAAAATGGGTTTCTTTTGCTCTCAAACATTAGTGTTGTTTCTGGGAAGAAATCTGCCAGAGGATGAACTCCTAGAAAACACCAGGAACCAGCTCCCTCCTGTGCCTCCCATCCCTGCAGAGGGATTTCAGAATGGCCATGGCACTCTGGCATTAGTGCCCCTGGAGTCTCTTTCCCTTTTAATTATTAAATGGCCCAAAGGAAAGGCAAAGGACAGATATATTTTTTCATCCCATTTTTTTCCCGACAAGCTTTTGCTCTAACAGCTTCAACAGGGTTAAAAAAAAAAAATACCTTTGAGACTGTCTGGAGAAGATTAATTTGCTCACTGATCATTTTTCACAAGTAATTAGTCACAATTGCTATGAGGAGGGAAGAAGGAAAAAGATATAGAAAGCAGATTAAAGAAACAAACCATAACAAATTTCATAAAGTCTCTGCAAATGTCAAAACCCTGTCAATCTTATAATTGCCTATGTAAATATCCAGGTTTATTCCCAGAGGCTTAACAACTTCTATTTAAGTAGAAAATACCTGAATGTATAATAATTGCTTATTCATTTTACATGCACTATAGGTTGTTAAAATAAAACCCATACTCAGCTGGATATCCAGTACTTAACAGTGATTTTATAGCACATATAGATGTTGATAAATTTAGTGGACAAAAACTGACTGAGGGTATATTCTAAAGTCCATTGGAATTTTAGCTTCTTCCTTTAATTTTGCCTGTGGTAACTAAGAGAAAATATACTACAAATATAAGATGGAGAAAGCATTATATTTTTAAGCATTGCTTAGAATAATCCAAACGGTATTTTCAGATACTTAGGCAGCTCGCTCCTGGAGAAATCAGGAATATAACACAGTCTTGTAAAATCAGTGAGTCCAGTAAATTCTTTTCAGTTCCTTCAGCAAAAGAAATCTTTCACCAAATAGTTAGTGGAGAGAAAGAAAAAAAATAAAAACAAAAAGCATTTCAATTGCAAACATAAAGCACCAGCTCAGCTAAATAAGTGGAAGTGACATAATTATCAGAATAAGTGTGGCCATGTTATATTTGAGCACAGATTTAAATGACTGCAGATTGAAACGGAAAGTTTCAGTTGTCTGTATAGCAATTGAATTATTTTCCTCTTTCCTCTCCCACCTCCAGTACTGGAAACCCTTTCTCTTCAGCTAGAGCTTTCATGTTTCTCAGGGAAGCAGGGCTGGCTCCATGTCACAAACCCACACCTGTGGCTGCTCCTTCCCCTCAGATCCCTGCATGGAGCCCCAGAGAATGATGACACACAAGAAACAGAGAAAGCAAAGGTGCTACTTCAGCACCTCAAAGAAGTGCCTCAGCTTAAGAGTTCTGGTAGTGGGGAGAAGATTCTTTATGATTCAGGCTTTGGTCAGGCAGGCAGAGCCCCTTTCTGCCCTCTGCATTTAGCACTGTAGCCTTGGTTTTTGTACACCACACAGAGACCAGTACTTCACTGTTTGAAATACTTCCTTGCATATGACCTTCCTTTTCTAAATATAAGACATCTGGTTCTTTGTTGCCCACCCTGCAAAATGTCCACAAGTTGTCAGTTGGTCTGACTCATAGGCATAGACCTAATTAAAGAATTTTTTTTTGTAGCAAACAAAACAGTTCAGCCCATACATACTTCTATCAAAACAAGAAAAATCACATAAAGTAAACCAACAAAACAAAATAAACCCCCACACAAGTAAGTAGACTATAGTCTTGTAAAAACACTAATTCAATGTTTATCTGAAACTTCTGATTAACTTATAACAACACTAAAGTAGTATTGGTGGAATACAGTGTTCTGATTCCAGATTAGATGCCAGCAGAATAAATCTGAGCACCAAGTCTGACAGTCACAACATTTGAAAAGTTTTTCACATGCTCATTACTCCAGCAGTGATCTGGCACCACTGACACACTGTCATGGCCTGCTAAGCAGATGATGGGGAGGGCGGGGGGCTTGCAGGAGGTCTTGTCTTTTTCTCCCAGAAAGGAAGTGGCAGAAAGAGGCAGGTTTTCATAAAACTCAGGCTTGTGTAAAACTACATTTGTTCAAAAGTGGAGTGATGCATGGGTTCAGAGCCCCTCAGGGAAATCGTCATTACAGAGGTGGGATGTACACTGACATCTAAAAATAACACAGCTTTGGTGTCAGATGCAGCCCCTCTTTCTGAAATCTGCCCCTGCTTTGACTTCAAGAGAAAACATTTGGATCCTCAAAGACCTCTCTCCTGAGCTAAAGAAAATCTCCATTATCATTTGGCAGCAAGAGATTTGACATTCTCTCTGCATGTTCCTGCTGCTGGAGGGCACGAACATTAGACCTGCAAGCAAAACACAGGTATGCAGAAAGGCTGTAACAAAAGTGCACTGAGGAGAAGAGTTGTATTTTTAACAAATCTCCCATGACCTATTTTGATATATCAGTGAAAATTTATATTTAAAAGCTGGGAGGGGGGAAATGCCAATCCTATCACAAAATATTCCCTGCAAGGTATCCAACCTCATTTGTTGTTTCAAAGGATGACTGGATGAGCATTAAAAGACAGAAAGTATTATCAGGGCAATGACCTCTCTGATGCTTTATAGATTCAAAACAAAGCAGCTTTATTGATATGATTTTAAAGAGCTCTCAGAGGCACAAAATGCAGTTGCTATAGGAATAAATAGCAGACATCCCTTTGAGAACAACAGATGGCATTCAAGGTGACTTATCTCCCAAACAGGTAAGTGCTCACTTTCACTTATTTGTAAATAGCCATCATTTATCCTGGTCTGTTCAGCAGGTCCCAGTGGTGTCACCTGCACCAATGACTGAAAGAAACAGATGACAAAAATAAAATGCAAAAGTGCTAGTTTAAGTTCTTTTGCCCCTCAGCATATCTGAGACCTGAAGTGCTACATAAAGAAATCTGTGAAAATAAAAAGTAATGGTACTCTTGACAATAATTATGCATTCCAGTAGATTCTGAATACAGCATAGGGGAATCCTAATGTCCTTTCTTTCCTGCTGAGATTCTAGTATAAAAAGAACTTACCTCACTAGAACATCTGGCTAAAAACAAGTTTTGTAAGTAGCCTGGATATCAAGAATGAGCATTAACAGCTTAAGTGGAGATGCACAGCTGCAAGTTGCTTATTAAAATGCTTTATCATTCAATAAGTCCCAATGGCAGAATCAGAGGAGCTGGAAGACCTTCCAGGCTGTTCTTAGAAAGTGGCTCACAATCAGCATTAGAGGGAACTCAAAGCAAAATCATGTCTCAACTACCACAGGAAAAGAAAAATCCAACCGCAACAATTAAAAAACCACCACCACCCAAAAACCACGAAACCAGAGATCACTCCTTGTTGTCTTCTTTCCAGTAAAATACAGCTAATCCTTCTAAGGAGCCCTCAAGGGCTCATTTCTCAGATTATTGCAGCGTGAATAGAAAAATCACCGATTTTTTTTTACCAGTTACAAAATTACGATGAAGAGAAGTACCAGTAGCGTTGAGGACTTCATGTGAATTAACACAAGACATCCTTCAGCAGATGAACATTGCCCCAACCAGCAGGAGAACAGTAAAGATTTCAGAGAAGCATCATCCAGCCATCACCAGTGCCACCACACTGCTAAGTCACACTCCAAATTTAGTCTCTTGCCTCCGCTTTTTTGTATCATTTCTGAACAGGGAAGGACCAGAAAAGCAGCTATGAACAGAACAAGCAACGACAGCAAAGACTGACTTTTGCATAACAAATTGTTGAAGAAAACTGAAAAATGCTCATCATTTACCAACATGAAGACGTGTTTTGGTGATAAGTTTCCATACTGCAGACAATATCTTCTATCCTCCCTCCCAAAATGGTATTCATGAAATATTAGCATTCAAATTCATCTGTCAAAATGATTGTTGATGTAGTATAGAAAGGCTATATTATCATCTGCTCTGCAGTTTGCCTCAGAGCAATCTTGATTCAGATATTTACATAACCAAAGATTATGACATCTTTTCCAGCCCTTTTGATGTTTCTGTCAGCAAGATGTCAATCAGATTAATTCTAGCTAGATTCTTTCCTGATACCCAGAATAGCTGTGAGGCATGAAGCAGTCATTTTGCCAAGGAGAAAGTTTGTTTTCCAAAAGAGACCCCTGACAAATCATTTGAAGCAGAAAACATATTTACACAAGAATGAAAAATGTGTACTTTATTATCCTTGAGACCCATGATGTAGTGGATTTGAAAGCAAGCATGAGCACTGGTAGAAATATCTTTAACAATATCTTAAAAGTCCTAAAATATCTCCTATAGCTTATATCAAATATATATATTTTTTTTTATTGCTAGTCCCTGTAATAAAATGATAGCTGAAAATTGGGGAAAACCATATGCTAAAGGACATAGAATTAGCCAATATTCAGGAAAATCTTGCAAAGCTCAACTATTTCCAGGTAGTGTTGAGACTTGTCAAGGTTCACAGGTTACACAACTTAAATTTCCACAAAGCTCCCCCTTACCCCCAAACCTTCCCCTCCATTTCGCTTCATATTCTCCTTCCACCACAGTAAGAAGAAGGGAACAGAGCTTGCTGACATTGACAAAAATTGTCTTCTAACTTTTTGCAGCTGATTCAGGTGACAAACTGGGCAAAGCCACTTCTTCTTTGCTAACATTAAGGCTGCTTTGTGAAATTGTGTAGTGAAACAAGATGGTAACACCGAGGAAAATTCTCATAAACATCAATATCCAAGCACAGAATGAATTGATGCAGAGTAATTGTTTACTAGGACCTTACAGTACAAAATACAGAAAGTTTTTAGAGAGGATATGTTTGTATATAAGTTGGTACTGGAGGAGAGGATTGAGTGAAAAACATAAAAACGTCCAAAATGACAGAATAAAGGACCACATAGAAAGAGAAGAAATGCAGTAAAAGAAGGATTGGAATCTTACACATTAGCAAAAGGAAAAGTGGACAATCAAAGGCTATGCAGAAGATGAACAAACAAAGGGCTAGATCCAAATCCCAAACTAAGACTCTAGAAGGCACCAAATGAAGAACCAAATAATTAATGAGAATTTCTCCAAGCCTTTCATTCACCTCTTGCTGCTGATGGGTAATTAAATTTGGTGCTCTTTACTATCAATGACTAGATATCACAGACCTGTGGTAGAAGAATTTGACTTACAAACACTCTCATTAGCTGAGCTTTACAATCTCAAATATATTACATTTTCCAGACTATTTTGCAAAACTTCAAGTTTTTTCAGAAAATGTGTCCTGTTTGTCTAACAACTCTCAGTGCCAGGACAAGGTTACTGAGCAATGATGTATCAGATATCGAACATCTGCTGACCTTATTTGCTTGTCTATTGATAAATGTATCATAGCGGAGATAGAACTCTACCGAGATAGTCTCTACAAAGGCCCAAGTTAAATATTGTCTCAAGCATTCTTGCCCACAGAATACAGTAACTACTGTCATTTCCAATCACCTGTTGACTTAACTGTCAGATTTAAATCCTTCTCTGTAATTTTAAAGCTTTTTTCTCCAGTGTACAGCACCTGACATTATATAAATCATACGGATGAAAGACAAAGGTATCTGACTGATATTAAATGCTGTCACTCAGCCGGGGCTGGGTGGATGCCAACTGGTCAAATTCTCCAAAATCTTAGAACAGATGCTGTGGCTATTCCAGCTTTATTTCAATTTCACACTCTTCCTATCTATCCTGACAGCTGGTTTTGACAGTCTGCTCTCTCCTCCTCAGCTCTCATGTCAATCTCAGATGCATAATAGCTGGATTAGAGCTTAAACAATAGTGATTAGATCATGTAGAAGAGGAAGCATGGTGGCAATCAAAAATAAGATACTTCAGTAACCCTTCAAACTCTAGCCACTTCAGCTGAAAGCAAATTTACAGGAACTCATCCAGCAAGCCAAAAATTATTCAGAAGAAAAGAGTATGAATTTTATCAAAGCTTGGGGATATCTTGTTGGTTTCTGAGGTTTTTAAAAATCACATTAATATTAATTTCCATGAAAGAGTTTCACTGAACAATTCTATCTTCACAGTCTCAGTATTTAGAAGGGTCAACAGGTTATGGTTACATCACCTTATCCTTGGCAGTCCTCTGTGAAAAGGCCCTGCAACCTGCAAGTCATTTGATGCAATTTAGCCCTCATTTAAGTAATGAAGGCCCTTGCCTTTGTAAATCATTTTAACATAGGTTAAATATCAAATAAATAATCAGAAGAAAGATTTGTGGATCAGACCCCATCACATTTAAGCATGCCTTGGCATGCTGTATGCTGTCAACAGCAAAACCCAGCCCTACATAAACACTGCTCTCCTCCACAGTAGGGACAGGGGTAATATCGGAAATGCATTTTTGCCATCTGTTAAATAATTCACACAAACAAGAACTGAAGACTTTTTTTTTCCCAGAAATGCTGGCTGTATATTTAAAAAGGTAGCCTCTACAATCCTCACATCCATAATTAAATTTGAGGGTAGACTGAAGGAAAGAATTCCATTTGCAGAAAAGCTCAACAGATGGTATTGTGTATTAAAGTAGAAGCATGTGAAAACTATTTGAACAAATGGCAGATGTGTCTGTCAGCCTTCTCCTGTGCCATTAAAGATTGGCATTTAAGGTATTATTCAGACTCACAGAATTTCACAAAAGACCTCTGAAGCTTGTGTTGGCTAAGGATCTCTGCAGGCCCAGATATAACCAGCTCGGGGGTGGAAAAAAAGTGTGGGACTCGCACAGCACAGAGGTTGGTCTCCTTATCCAGTCCCAGTCTCAGCTTCTTGCCAAAGCCCCTCTTTGAGTACACAGAAGAAACTGCATTTAGCTGAACTTCAGGAAATACTGAATAACTGACCATTATGGCAACTTTTTGGGTTTTCTTCCTGTAAGGCTGAATGAACTGCCTGGTTTAACCAGAAAGGGGTAACACTGCTTCGAGATAGATTGTCTTCTATCTGGACTCTTCTGCACTGGCTTTATTTAACTGGGGCTCATGAAAAGTATTTAGACAAGAGACAGGGTAGTACAAAAGAGCAACCTATTGAAGTTTCACGAGAGGATATTTTAGGGGTTCTGCTACATGACATGTAGGTTTTCTCAGATGGTACCTATTGGCAATGCATCCTTTTTCTTAAAACATATATTCTTTTTGTATAGGACCAACAGCAAACTAGGTTATATCATAATCTGTGTAATCTGGGACCACTGCAGTTCGTGCCTCTGAATACATACACTTCATGTGCACAGATTTTCTAAGTCCCTACACCTGCTACTAGTGAAGTGAGGCGGGAGGTTTCCCATTCACATAGCAAAATTAGAGTTATCCATTCACAGAACCAGGAAGAATAAAAATTTTGTTCAGTTACAAGGAAAACATGTTTCTTAAATACACATAATATAAAGGGCAATCTGTTTTACTTTGAAGAGCTTAGATAATTTCATTTTTAAGAATACCTCTGAAAGACTCAAATCCTCTCTAAGCAGGAATTGCCCAAAGCAATGAAACAGGTCAATATTTTCATGATAAGAAATCCATAGTTAGCTGTTATGGAAGTTTTTTCTTAACTTAGGCTTATCTTAGGCTTTTGGTTACCCAGAACACATGAGCTACCTTCCCTAGGGAAGGAGAGCCTGCTAGCTGTTCTGATTAGCAAGGAATCAAAGCCTGTCTAACACTTTAGGAACTGCCCAGCCCCAGTCTCAGCTGACCTGCAGTCCAGGCTCCAATTCTACACTGTCCCAGACACTCTTCTCAGAGTCCCTTCCATTCTAATAAATTTTCTTAATAAGAGAAACCTTGCCTCACTGAAAATGAGAAAGGGCCCTTAGAGCCAGTGTGTGTTCAAAATGCTTTCCCCTTGTTCATGCTGGTTTAAAGAATCTTGATCTGAATTCAGTGTCAGCAGGAAGAGCCTTTCTGATGCTTGGGAGGCAGAACACACAAACATCACATCAGCTGCTTAAACCCAAGGAATCCCACTAAACACATCAGGATGGGCAAGAGCAATCCAGGCCAACAGGAGAGGCAGCTGCACTGCTGGGGATGGGAGTCACAGCTCCACACAGCACAAATGTACATGAAAGGCAACTCCAGCCCATGGAACATGCAGAGGAAAAAAACAAACACACAGCTGTCCTCCCTTCACCCCCAGACCTGGAGTATTTTGGGAGTATACAGGTATGCTGACTGCTTTTTGTGTAACCCTCTGCAAAAGTAAATCCCTTTAATCAAAGTGTAGATGAATGGATTACTCAATATCACAAGCAGAGTTTAAGCAGAGAGCCCTTCTCACTGATAATATGTTCTGCATCTTCTGAACTATTGGCACACAATTGCTGCAAGTTTCTCCTACTTAACTGCATCTTCCCACTTTCATGTAGTCATTGGAGATTAAATTCTAAACTTGAAGAACTAATTTCTTTAATGCAGCTTTTCCTCTTCAATTTCACATACAATACTTCTTTTCTTCTATCAACTCCAGCTACTTTAGCGAAGTGTTTAAGCCTGTAGCTAAGTGGGCTGTTTTTCTAAAGAGTTAATTCTGCACAGATTCCTGCTTTCTCAGCAGGTTTCAAAGAAAGTGGATGTACAAATGTGCCTGTAAATATAGATTAAAACATTGACATCCTTATCTTAAAATGGAGTATATGGAGTTTGCAATTTTGTTTGTATTGCATAGCCTGTATCATTGAATAAGAGAAAAACGTTTGTTTTATAGCTTCAGTTAGTCACAAAGCAAGTAACAGGTAAGTGCACCAACCCAACAATCACACACAGCAATTTTTTTTTTTTTTTTTTTTTTTTTTGCAATGAAATCAGTTTGCATTGACTAAAAAGTGTTTGGATTGTTTACACTAAAGTCTGTAAGTGAACACAGAGGATAAATTCACAGCTCTAAGTGAAGATCCAAAACTAACCAGGAAAACAGCAATTTCAGAAATAAACTGCAGTACCTTCAGTTCTGATGTTTTGCTCTGGGGTTTGGTTTTGTTTGTTTTTAAACAGAGCAGACAAAATGCTAGAAAATACACAGAGAACGCCCTTCAACTTCACCATGTTCCT